GGTCTAACTCTGCAGGGAAAAGCTTCCTGTCTTTCCTCTGCCCCCTCCCCACTGGAAAGGGATGGTGGCTGCAGGCTCTGCCCCCCCCTTAACATCTGCAAAATGATTAAGGCTGATACATTGTGTTACAGGATTTTATCTAGGTAACTTCCCTGAGCTGTCAAGTTGAAAGGGTACATTCAGGCATAATATTTGCAACATTTAACAACTTTAAAGATGTCGTCCCCCCCCTGTAATTTCCATAACAGTTGGAAGGACAAAAATATAACCTCCTATGACAACTCCTGCAACCCATGAGCTTTCAGACAAAGATCATGCATGGACAAATGTAAAGATCTTTGGAAAGTATTGATCGAAACCACAGTAACAAACGAATCAATGTATCTTCAAGGGAAAGATAGATCCATTTGCATATATAGCTCTGTAGGCTTAATGAGATTCCCACAAAACATTAGGAAGGCCTTTCTGGTGGTGAGAGCAGTCAGACAGGGGAAGGGGCTTTTAGGGAGAGGTCGGGGGGGGCATCTGCCAGGGATGCTTTAGCTGTGAGTCCTGAATTGCTGGGGGTTGGACTGGATGACCTTTGGGTCCCTTCCACCTCTATGATTCCATGACCTTTAAGGGAAGTCACCTCCATCTTCATCTCAGAGCAGATGCCCACAAGCCCTGGGCGGGAAGAGCCCGAGAGAGAGAGAGCCCGAGAGAGAGAGAGAGAGAGAGAGAGAGAGAGAGAGAGCCGAGGGAGAGAGAGAGAGAGAGAGAGAGAGCGCAGCCAAGCCCCCTTCACCGCCTGCCCCCCCGCCAGCCCCCTCTCCCCTCCTCCCTAGGCGGCAGCTCCGCCATGACCACAAACGGCGGCCGCAGCAGCAGCCGCGCGTGGCCCGGGCTCCCCTCGCCGGCCGCGGGAGCCAAGGCGCGCGATAATTTTCTTAAATTATGTCAGCGGCGCCCGGCAGAGCAGCCCTCTCGGCCACGGCAGCCCGGCTCTCCCAGCCCCCGGGGGCCACCCTCCTCCCTCGCGCACCCACAGCGTTCCCGCCCGGGGAGGCGGCGCCCCCAGGAGAGGCGGCGGCGGCAGCAGCAGCCGCGCGCGGCCCGGGCTCCCCTCGCCGGCCGCGGGAGCCAAGGCGCGCGATAATTTTTTAAATTATTGGGGGGGCAGAGCCCCCCCAATAAAATTTTTGAGGGGGCTCGGGCCCCCTCAGGCCCCATGGAGTCGGCGCCTATGCATCTTGTCCAAAGTCCCTCCAAAACTGGGAGATGCCCTTCTTGTGATGATGCCCACAAAGGAGAAGGCAAGCCATTTCCCTCAAAGCATCTAAGGTGGCCCTGAGGACAATCTTTAAAAATTAATCTAACCATGACAAGGTTCCCTATGTTTCTAAATCTTGAGGGATAGCAAAAGAAGCAGAATGCAGAAAGAATTAAGAATCCTACTTACACTTTAGATGAAGAGTGTCTCTTCTTTGCGTTAGAAAACATTTTTGCTTACTCACAAACTACCTCTTCTCGCCTGAACTATCCTCAAATAGTTGGCTCTTCCCAAAGTCCTCATCCCAAAGTCACTCAGCAGAGGGAGGTGTCACAATGGAGGACATGACACCGTTACTTTAGCTACTTTGCTTAACAATGGGCATTGTTCCCCTTAATATTTATTTTTCAAATATATCTTTCGGTAGGTTAAGCAGTCTTATTTCATTTATTTAGAAAAGATCTAGAGCTGGCTCCATCCAGCACGGTGCATTTCTGGAAAGGACAGGAAACACCACACATACACACTTTTCAACATGGTGGGGTCACCAATGGAAAACACTTCTGGCCTAGATTACGCCTGCTGTTTCTCACTTAATAGTTAAAAATAACCCTTCTCAACGCCCTGTAGTAATCTGTCCAGTATTATGACTTCACCTTTAGGCCTCCTTAGGCTGCAAGGAAGTGAAATGTTATGAGTTTGTGGGTGCCAGACTCACCTGAGTTTCTGGGTGCCAGACACTGAAGCTCTGGACACTGAACATCTGGGGAATTGATAAGCCTTGTTTAAATGTACCCAGTGCTTTTTTCTGGGGGGACAAAGGGGTATGCATGAATCTATCGGGAGAAGAAACTTAAAATTTTAAAACTGAGAGGTAGTATTTCAATATGAGTAGGAAAATTACTATTTTTCATCATCGCAGCAAGCAAAGAAGTGTAAAGTTATTGAGGACTCTGTAAAAATAAAAGATGTTGTGTAATATGAGGTAATGCATGTTCTTTGTACTTTTGTCTATTTACTGTATTTATTTCCCCTGATTTGAACTATAAAATGGTGATTTTCCTGATTCAAAATGAGAGTACCCCTAATCATTTATTTAGAAAAAAAGGACAGGACTAAAGCATTTACCACTTCAAAGGAATGACCAGGCTACACAGAAAATGCAATCAAGTAAGGCATTATCAAGTATCCTGACAGGAGAGAGGCAACACTCTCTCTCAAATTTCTGCTGGAGACCGTCACCTTCTGTGATGCATGTATGATGTTTTGGAGGGTGGTCTTGGGCTACAGGGTGGGCAATTTCAAAAGTCTTTATAGGGGCTTGCGCACCATTGTTCTGAGTCTTTCCTACCTCCATGGAAGGAGGGTAGGAAACTGTTGCAACAGAAAATAAAGATCAGCCTTGCTTTCTATGGATTTTGCCTCCTCCATCCATTCATCTTTAACGGATCATGGACTTGGGGGACTCAGTTCCTTGGGGAGTTGGGCAGCAAAACCCAACCCTATTTCTTTCTATAACAGGCCCGCACACCAATGGGTGTTCTACAGGGATGTTCTCTTTGAGGAAGGGTAGAGAAACCCCCAATTTAACATTCTTCAGCAAAACCTGGCTCTTTTATCTCCCTGACAAAATAGGCACTCACTAATCAATCATCCACCTACCTGCTGCCCAGCACTCTCCTGCCTGAGCTGACAGAGATGGTCTCAGGGGCTGTGCTGAGGAATCCCAGAATGCTGGTTTTGAGGGACTTCAACATCCATGCAGAGGTGACCGGCTCCCTGCTATACTCTAGAGCTTAGAATGAGAAAACAGGCTGGAAGACAGCTTGAACGCAAGTGGGGGGAAACTCTGGTTGTATGCAATTGAATATTGGTGAGGGCTCATCATTGAGCCTACCTAGTGGCAGTGAAGACAGCAAATAAGCTTTACTCTTCTGCCTCCTTTGCATCCTCATTGTGCTGTCCAGCAGAGCTTTCCCAGGTAGTATGGAGCCTGCTACAGTCTGGCCCAAAGGAGGTGGCAGAACCAATGGCAGCTTGCTGTGACTTGTTTACAAGGCATTTTGAGGATAAAATTGCTTGCATTCAGCAGGATCTTGACTCCACTGTTACAGTAGATTAATCTCAAGGGGCCTTGGTGGATTAACATTCTAGGTCCCTTTAAATATGCTTGTGGGAGTGGGGCTTATAGGTTTTCTTTGGTGTTTTTTCTTGTTTTTATTATGTTTATTATTATTACATTAAGCAGTCATGTCTTCCCCCAAATAATTCTGGGAGCTCTAGTTTTTTTACATGTGCTGTGAGTTGTTAGGAGAGCCTTAATTGCCCTCCAAGAGTTACAATCTCAGAGTAGTATAAACAATCAATCCTTCTTCCCAGGGAACTCTGAGAATTGTAGCTCTGTGAGAGGAATAGCGGCCTCCTAATGACTCTCAGCACCTGTAGCAAACTACAGCTCTCAGAATTCTTTAGGGAAAGCCATGACTGTTTAAATTGCTATCATTGCTGTTATAAGTAATAAAACTGCTCCTTTCCCCTTATGGGGTACCCAAGAGCCCATACAGAGTCCTGTTGTAGGTTCTCTATCGGTAGGAGAAAATAACAGAGACCAACCAGAGAATATTGAGAAGCAAAGCAGCTAGTAAGCCTGATCTTTATTAACTGTTGCAACAGGGTGCCCCTTTCACACACAGGAGAAGGAGGAGGACCCAGAACCAAGGTATGTCCACCCTTATATAGACATTTTAAATTGCCCGGCCTGGAGTCCAAGACCACCCCCAGAAACATCATACATACATCACAGAAGAGGTGTAGCCCAAGACCACCCCCCAGATATATTAAATAGTGGGTGGACATAGCAGATGACACAGAGATTTCTCCAAGTAGTTCCTTATAAGTAAGCTGGAACTGAACTGAACAGCAAACCGTTCAGCCGGTCTGCTTTTATAGGCAGTCGACTGTCAACATTGTAACAACAACAACCCAGGGTTTCCCGCCTAAATTAACTGACGTGGACCTGAGTGAAAACTATATACATGATACCCCTGGTGGCCCAATACATAACAAGATGCATCTTACCTACATCACAGAACAGGCAGTCTACAGCAGAAATCTGAGTGCGTTGTTTATCTCTTGTCTGGCAAGTTACCTGATTGCATTATCTGGATTTTGGCCTCTCTTTTGTTATTATAACTACTTAATTCCTGAATCTAGGTCACAGGTCACAGGCTCACACCCTGTTCATATCTTGAATGTGCCCTGAAGACAGGATTTCTGAGGAAAGAGACAATGGGGAGGTTTCCCACTTTGACCTGGCAGAGAAATCTTTGAGGTCAATTTGTTCAGGACCTAATCTGTGGGGTTTCAGACATGTAGTTTATATATACAGTTATGAACATTTTTTAATAATATGAACTTAAAATTCTTATAACAATAGCACTTTAAATTTATGGTGTGAATGTGGCCTTGGAAAGTTGCTAGTACCATAAGATGTGCTGCCTCAATGAAGGGATTTATCTGAGCACAATAAAAGATTTTGGTTCTTTAGGGGCCTTTTCTCTAAGTGTCCTCCCTCCAAAACAAACAAACAAACAAACAAACAAACAAACAAACAAACAAACATCCAGTCCCCTTCTCTCTTTCTTTGATCCTGAGAATTTTGGGAGGCCATTTTCACCCAGCCCTACAAAATAACCTTTGGATGTGGAGTGTGACGTTTCCATCTCCGTCCACAAGATGGAACTGGGAGAGAGAAGATCTGTGGGATTCTCTCTGCTCAGTCAGAGGAGGAGCAGGAGGGAATTGTGAGCGGCTCTTTAGAGCCTGGGATTGTGTAAAGACATTTCAGTGGCTTCTTTGAGACTGATCATGGCTGGGGTTATCTGGTGTCTGGCTTTGGTTTGGCTGGGCCTGCATCTGACCATGGGGGCCATGGATTCATGCTATGATGCCCATGGACGGGCACAGCGCTGTATGCCCATCTTTGAGAATGCCGCATTTGGGAGGCTTGCGCAGGTGTCCAACACATGTGGCTCCCCACCAGAGGATTACTGTCTCCAGATGGGAACACGAGACTCCACCACACTCTGCCACCGCTGTGATGCCGGCAGCGATGTGCTCCACCACAACGCCACCTACCTGACAGACTTCCATAGCCAGGAAGAGCCCACGTGGTGGCAGAGCCAGTCCATGGCCTTTGAGGTTCAGCACCCCAACTCAGTCAATATCACCCTTCACCTGGGTAAGTTAGAGTGACCTTGTTTTTCTCCCTTTTCCCCTCTCCCCTGCAAACTGCAGAAATTATTTTTTAAGATGCAGCCGCCAAACGGTACATTGAAAGCACATTTTCACCTCCCAAAACCCCTGGGAACTGTTGTTTATCCTTCACAGAACTAGAACTCCCAGCACCCTTAAACTACTGTTCCCAAGTTTCTTGGGTGGATGGGTGCTTTAAATGAATGATGTGTACACAGCCTTAATTCAGCATCACATGCAGGCAGGCTGGCAGGATGAAATTCAGGGATGAGTGGGGTGATCTCTCCTACCTATATCTGAAAGGGTGAAACCCTCCTCAGCCACTTTACCTTATTGTTTTTATCTTGGGGTCTCAGCATTTAACCTTTTATTTCTGTTAGGTTAGGGTAATGGAATTATTTAGAAAATCAACTTGCAACAAGCTTCTAAAGTTTCTATTTTAATTCAAATAAACTACCCCATATGTGCCCACTTGATAGCTGCTGTCAGTGGAACTGGCACTTTTAGAATTGCCACATAATGTTCATTCTGTGGCTGCAAGGAATGGGATCTTTTAAGGCCTCCTTTGCACTATACATTTCATTGAGTTTCACACCACTTCAAACAGAATCCTGGAAAATGTAAATTGTTAATAGAGCTGTGTTTTGTTAGGAAACCCCCTTTTCCCTCCCAGAGCAACAATATCCAGAGTGGTTTAACAGCCAAGCACTCTTCCCATGGAACTCGGGGAATTGTAGCTCTGGGAGGGGAATAGGGAGGTCTCCTAACATCACTCAGCACCCTTAAGAAACTACAGCTCCCAGGATTATTTGGCTTTTAAAGCACTATTATACTCCTTGAAATCTGTAGTGCAAATGGGGCTCTAACTCCCTGCCTATGGATGTCAGGTGTGTATCCTTGAATGTTTTTAGCACCTGCTAAAAGTCTTTCGGAGGTTCGAATCCCATTGCTCAGTCCCTGCTCCTGCCAACCTAGCAGTTCAAAAGTGCAAGTACATAGGCTCTATTTCTGTTTTGGAATGCATGTGTTCATGTTGCAACATGTGAACATTGGAAGAGTTTGTGGTATGGTACCAGTGACCCATCTAGTGCACTATCCTGTTCTCACAGTGGCCAACCAGACGCCTCTGGGAAGCCTGCAGCCAGAACACTATTTTCCCTAGCGATTCCCAGCACTTACGATTCAGAGACATTATACACTAAGGTCTTAGAAGTAAACTATGGATAATATTGTAGAGATTAAGACCTAAACCATATTTTAACTGCTGCCATAACTGTTTTGTTTATTGTTATATTTATTGTTAACTTAAACTGAATTTTATTGTGTTTCTGATTTGTTTAGTACGGTATGTGAGTCTGGTCTGGGACCGTAATAAATTCAGTTCAAATTCAGAGGCATATTGCTTCCACCTGTGACAGTGGACAATAGTCAGCCTGAAAAATTAGCAAGTAATTGAAGTGCTCCTTAAAATAATTGTTGTTGTTGCAACTGAAGTGCTCCGTAAAATAATAGCTGTTGCTGCTGTTGTTGTTAATTTATATACCAGTTTATTCCCTGACAGGGACTCAAGGTGGCCTACAAATAAAAAAGAGCTAAAAAAATGTGTGTGGTCCAAAAGAATTCTAGTGAAAAAGCTTGAAAAATAGCAATAATCAATCAAATAGAAACCCATTGTTATATACTGAGCTTATCTCTGACAAAATAATAATTCCTCTCTGCTAAGATGGAGATGGAGAACCTGTGCTGCCCTCCCTCCACACATTACTAGACTCCAGCTCCCATCAGCCCCAGACAGCATGGCCAATAGTCAGGGATGACGGACACTAAAGTCCAGTAACATCTGGAGGTCCACAGGTTCCCTATTACTGTGCTAAGGTCTTACCACCTTTCCCACTATTAACTGACTTGTATATATTGCTATTTCTGGGATACTAGAATTTGTTAGTGAATGTTAGCAATAAATGAATATTGGGCATATTGAAGGGAAGATAACCACTGCAGCAATTCCCCTGAAAAGTGCCACACATGGAAAATCCTGGGTTTAGCCTAAGCAAACTAGTCTGGATGGGCTGGTTGAATGTAAACCATTATGAAACCAGGGCCAGGCATCCACACATCAAAGAAGGTGTCTGGGTCTGCACAAAACAGGAGTTGCAAAGGTAATGGGGAGGGGCCTGAATAGCAGTTGGCATCCATCTGTCTCGAGAGACAATGGAGTGTACCTCCAGGGATGAAGTCAAATGGCTGTGTTAGAAGCACCGAAGTGACCTCCCTGGGGTGCAAGCCTGGGCAGTGTGTATTGAGGTCCTGAACTGCCTAGATGAGAAGACCACCCTCTTAAAGGTAAAGGGACCCCTGACCATTAGGACCAGTCGTGGCTGACTCTGGGGTTGTGGCGCTCATCTCGCTTTATTGGCCGAGGGAGCCGGCGGCGTACAGCTTCCGGGTCATGTGGCTCGCATGACTAAGCCGCTTCTGGCAAACCAGAGCAGCGTACGGAAATGCCGTTTACCTTCCCGCTGGAGCGGTACCTATTTATCTACTTGCACTTTGGCATGCTTTCGAACTGCTACGTTGGCAGGAGCAGGGACCGAGCAACGGGAGCTCACCCTGTCGCGGGGATTCGAACTGCCAACCTTCTGATCGGCAAGTTCTAGGCTCTGTGGTTTAACCCACAGCACCACCAGCGTCCCTAACCACCCTCTTAGCCTTGCCCTAATGCCATACAAGAATATAGAAAAAGGGTGGGGGGAGCTGACAGGAGGTGGTGCAATTGGCTATGTATTCTGGGAAGGTGAAGAAGAAAAAAAGACAGGACACCATCCAGGAGCAGGAGGGCATCAGCTATTAGGACTGGCTGGGGAGCAAGAATAAAGGGGTGGTGCTTAGGATGGCTCTGTCTGCAGTGCTGGGCTGCTATGAAGGACAAATGTCTCTTGAGATGACAATGCTGTAAGATATGCACCCCACCTTAATCTAAACTCAGGTGTAAAGATAAAGGTAAAAGGACCCCTGACCATTAGGTCCAGTCATGGCCAGCTCTGGGGTTGCGGCGCTAATCTCGCTTTACTGGCCAAGGGAACCGGTATACAGCTTCTGGGTCGTGTGGCCAGCATGACTAAGCCACTTCTGCCGAACCAGAGCGGCGCACGGAAACTGCTCCGGGCTGCTGAGACTGCCGCTGCTGCGTTTCCCGGGGACATTTGATGAAATCCGGGGACATTCCAGGGATGGAATTTTCCAGGGACTTATTCACAAATCTGGGGACTGTCCCCGGGAAACAGAGACGTCTGGTAACCCTAATTATAACTCCCACATAAGTGGGGGGATGACTGTATAGTTACTATATATTTGGTAACTATAGCAATAGCAACACACATACCATCTTGGTGCCTCGCTAGCTTTGAGCAATTTCATTATATCCTTATATCCTGTTGCCCTCCCAAATCTTGGCTCCATTGCAATTATGGAATGATCTCTGATGACTGCTAAACAAATAAGCAGTAACTGCTCTAGCCTGAATCTCTGAGGACAAAATTTTATGTGTGTGTCTATTTAGCATGGTCTATGTTTGGGGGGGCTGTACTGTTGCCCTTCCCAGATAGCAAAACTGGAGGGGGTGGGTGGAGGGTTGGAGGTTCAAGCGATGGCCATCGAGTCCCAAGAGAAGAGAGGCCCTTCAGGCCAAGAGAGTTTGGAACAGTCTGCTTCTGAAAGAGGTCACTCCTTTCCCAACCCCCTGTGAACGCGCCCACATCTGTTACAAATTGACAGGATGTTTGGACTGGCCATTCTACTTAGGATGAAAGGAGCTGGCCTTGCTCCAGTCTCTGACACCTCGGTTAAACCAGACTTTCCCCCGCTTGACCCAGTACTGTGTTTCAAGGAAAAGACAATATGTGTTTTAGAGACAGCTTCTCTAAAAGCCCTTAGACATGACATGACATGGGAGGACGGGGACAGGAATGTGACTATGGTCATACCTCGGGTTGAATATGCTTCGAGTTGAGCATGTTTGAGTTGCGCTCCGCGGCAACCCGGAAGTAATGGAGCGCATTACTTCCGGGTTTCGCCACTTCCGCACGCGCAGACACTCAAAATGACGTCACGCGCATGCGCAGAAGCGGCAAAAAGCGACACGCACGTGTGCAGACGTGCCGTCGCTAGTTATGTTTGCTTCTAGATGCGAACGGGGCTCCGGAACGGATCCCATTCATATCTAGAGGTACCACTGTACTAGGAACAAGCTGGTGTCCACTGAAGCAGAACTTGGTTGCCATTTGTTTCTGTTACTCCTCCCTCACAGAAAATCTGTTCCCAGAGGCCACATTTACACCATACATTTACCGCTTTAAACAGAAACAGCTTCCCAAAAAAGATTACGTGAGCTATAGTTTGTTAAAAGTGCTGAGAATCTTAAGGTGACCCCTGTTCCCCTCACAGAGTTAGAATTTCCCTGTGAAAAGGGATTGACTGTTAAACCACTCAGGGAATTATAGCAGCAAATTGTTTGGGCTTGCCCTGGAGGAACCTGTGGCCCTCTGAGTGTTGCTTGCTTCCAACTCCCATGAGCTCCCACCAACATGGTCAATGGTGAGGGATGATAGGAGTTACAGCCTGGCAACATCTTAGTGTAGGACTGTAGGCAATCTATGAGAGATTGCAATTCCCGCAGGCTCTGTTGGAGAAGTACACATTGTCCTAGCTGAAGAACAACACATTTTCCGGCAACCGGAGCAAATTGCAGTTGAGTCTAACAGTGGCAAAGTAAATACCATTGCTATTTTTAAACAGGATGTTGAAAACTCACCCAAACACACTACCGCCTCCACAAAGGAAAGCCGGCACCTCTATCCCCTGCTAATAGGCTTCTCAGAGTCATCTGTGGACCACTGATACAACGAGGATGCTGAATTCGATGGTGCGATCCAGACCAGCAAAAAATCCTTACCTTCTTCCGAAGGAATCATTAATATATTGTCATTAATAAACAGTAGTATTTAGATAATATTTGGAGTATTGAAGGGGAGATTCCAGGCCAGTGGAAAAATACAGGCTAAGCTCTTTTTCCAGGTCAGGGCCTCACCCAGGATAGAGGCAGTTGACAAGAAGTGTTGATGGCCCATCCCTGAGAACACCTTGGGTCTGTGGTTACTGGGGCGGAGAAAGGTTTGGGATTGAAAATAAGAGAGGAGGCAGACTGTGCTGTGAGATGGCAATGCTGTAAGATCTGCAGCTCCTTCATCTAAACTCAGCTGTAAATATGTGTATTTATGTGGGGGTTACGTTCTGAACCTCCGTATGCATACGTGAAATCGCATAAAATGGGGAGCACCTGGAGAGTCCTCCTGGCTCCCGAGAAGACCCATCCCAGAGCCCACAGAGGACAAGCCAGTGGCTTGCAGTTGCTACTGCTCTACCCCCCACATCAGCTGTTAGGTAGAAGGTCTCAGCAAAGCCCTGCTGTGGCACTGGCTCCTGAAGAGACCCTCCCCAGCAACCTAAGAGGACGTCCTCTTTGGGCTCTGGAGAAAGTCTCTTCATGAGCCAAGAGGACCCTTCAGGGTGCAATTACAGGATTCACTTCCAGAATTCTGGCACGGCATATGTGCACAGTCACATGCAAACAGTGCATGTGTAAATGGGAACTTGCCTGTAATTAAGCCATATTTCTTATAGACACTACAGCCTCCTCCACATCTTGATTCTCAACAGAAACACAACCCTAGATGAGAGCCTGAAACCCGCTGTAATTGTGTGTACCTCTCAGCAGAGATTGGGGTCTTCGCTTCAATGTTCCAAATATTATCTAAATACTACCGTTAATTAATTTCCACCATTCACTAACATACTGTGGTCCCCTAGATCTATTTCAAAATTCCCCTATTAACCATGAGAGCTAAGGATCAAACATTGGAAGCAGAATGCATCTAAATACTAGATGCTGAGGGGTGTGGACACAATGTTTGTTTTAAATACTAACAGCAGCCTTGTTGCTCAGAAATCCCAACAAACTCCTTCCAATCAGTTCTGTTTTGAAATCTGTGGTTAAAATCAGTGCAGTTTTGAGGACCACCTGCTTCTTTTTCTGCATGAGTCACTGTTCTTGTTGGGCTCAGAAAATTGACTCATGCAGAGACATAATTCCACTGCATGAGTGGATCAGGAATCCATCAAGCAGGTCTGATTGTGCATCTTCAGTTGTGCATGGGCCAACTGAAAGAACAGTGTAGTAGGCCAGTGGGATCACTTCCTCAGTGATTTAATGCTTAGCACCAGTGTTTTTCTTCTAGAAAAAGAGGTACTGGTACTGCATACCCTTCAGTATCTCCAGAAAAAAACTCACTCCTTAGCACTCACAAGAGCCTTCAATTGCTCATTGTTTTTGACGCAGAAACGCCTACAACAGACATCTCCCCCTCATGTGTTCCAGGGTTACTTGCCAATCCCCTACCCTGCCCAAGTGAGGGGCACAGAAAGTCTGTTGGTGGATTCAAAATCTCATCTTTTACTTGCTAATCAATGACAGATGCTGACGTCTACCCTTGCAGTAGCCGTTGGATAACTCAACACATGCCTGCAAGGTTCTTGCATTGTCCCAGCTCCTTCACAGACATTTTTCATATGGGTGCAATTAAGTGTTTGTTTTCCCCACCCCTTAGTCCCAGAATAATTGCCTTTTCTCAACATTTTGGATTCATTAGGGTCTCAAATGAGGCTAGCTGATTGTGCCGTCTTTTTTCATCGCAAATAATTTTGCAGCGGGGAAGTGGCTCTTCACTGGTTGCATTCTTTCCCTTGCGGCTGACAAAAGATTTGGTGGTTGTTGTCTTTTTATAAAAAAATAAAAAATAAAAAATATGAACGCTGGATGAAGGAACTGAGAAATCCTGTTTCTGCTCACCACAAGGGGAAACAGACACTGTGTCACCTTCTTTCCAACCCAAAAAATGGCTAGCAGTGCACATGTTGATCTAATTCTTGAGGACTATTTTTGGCAGGCTGGCGTCACTGTGCAGCACCCTCAGGCTCTGACGCAGTCCCTTAAAAGGTCACTGAAACTTAGAGGGGGAAATGTCTGTCCCTGAAAGGAAAAGTGAAGTGGATAGGTAGCAGGGCAACTTAGAGGTCCCCGCGAACCAACAGTGGGAATGAAAGGAATTAGTGGTTGAGCTGAGACCTGGCGTCGGTGGCTTTGGCCTTTCACCTGCCGCTATTTGTTGTTGTTGTTGTTTAGTCGTTTAGTCATGTCCAACTCTTCGTGACCCCATGGACCAGAGCACGCCAGGCACTCCAGGCACTACATACTTCCCACCAAATATTTTCCACTGAAAGAATAAGGCCCCACTCTGCACTATACATTTAAAGCACTATAGTATCACTTTAAACCATGGGTAGGCAAACTAAGGCCCGGGGGCCGGATCCTGGCCCAATCGCCTTATAAATCTGGCCCACAGACGGTCCGGGAATCAGCGTGTTTTTACATGAGTAGAATGTATCCTTTTATTTAAAATGCATCTCTGGGCTATTTGTGGGGCCTGCCTGGTGTTTTTACATGAGTAGAATGTTTGCTTTTACAGTGGTACCTTGGGTTACATACACTTCAGGTTACATATGCTTCAGGTTACAGACTCTGCTAACCCAGAAATAGTACCTCGGGTTAAGAACTTTGCTTCAGGATGAGAACAGAAATCGTGCTCTGGGGGTGTGGCGGCAGCAGGAGGCCCCATTAGCTAAAGTGGTGCTTCAGGTTAAGAACAGTTTCAGGTTAGGACGGACCTCCGGAACGAATTAAATACATAACCCAAGGTACCACTGCATTTAAAATGCATCTCTGGGTTATTTGTGGGACATAGGAATTCGTTCATACTTTCCCCCCAAAATATAGTCCGCTGCCCCCCCCCAAGGTCTGAGGGAAAGTGGGCCGACCCCCTGCTGAAAAAGTTTGCTGACCCTTGCTTTAATCTATGGGTTGGCAAACTAAGGCCCGGGCCGAATCCGGCCCAATCGCCTTCTAAATCCGGCCCGTGGACGGTCCTGGAATCAGCATGTTTTTACATGAGTAGAATGTGTGCTTTTATTTAAAATGCATCTCTGGGTTATTTGTGGGGCATGGGAATTGGTTCATTCCCCCCCCCCAAAAAAAAATATAGTGCGGCCCCCCACAAGGTCTGAGGGACAGCAGACTGGCCCACCACTGAAAAAGTTTGCTGACCCCTGCTTTAAACAGCCATGGCTTCCTCCCACCCACCAAATATTCCTGGGAACTGTAGCTTGTTCTGTGTGGTGAGAGTTGTTAGAAGAACGCTACTCCTCTCAAAGCTACAATTCCTAGAGTTCCCTGTGAAGATGGATTGGGTTTTGATACCCAGAACATAAAGTCAATTCACATGAGGTGACAGTAAGACCTCTGAAGCCCAGCCAGCAGTACCCCACATTAACAGGAACAAGCATTCTACAACATGCCAAAGAATCCTCTGGGAAGTTCTGAGTTTCCTCAGCAGATGAACTGATGCGGGCAAGGGTGTAACTATTTTTTGTTTTCGTTGTTTTAAACCCACTGATTGCTATAACTGCATTATGGCCCTTAATGATTTAATCCGTTCCGGCGGCTTTTTCCATCTTTTGCTGGCACGGAACAGCCCTGATGCCACTGCGCCACGATGCTTTCTGTGGATGAAAGACCTTTGCTTGTTGATTTAGGGCAGAAGAAGGAGAAGAAGAAATAAACATTCACATTTAGATCCAAGAGATAGCGGGGAAAGTGGAACTCTCTGTGTTTTATTCCAAGAACACTAGATGGTCCTGCCGAGACATAGGGATGCTGGAGAAAATTGATTCAGTTCACAGTTAAAGGCAAACTGGCCATAATTTGTACTAACCGTAACTTAGCCATCCTTCAAAATGCTCAAAATCTTGCATTGCAGTTCTCAAACCAAGTTATGGACACGAAAAACCGTAAGTGAGGGTCATGTGTGCAGGAAAATGCATAGATTAGTAAAAATATATTTTTAAAATGCATTATTTTAAGGGAAATTTATTGCAAAAATGTGTACATTAGGCAAAATTGTATACAGACAAGTGTATTAGGAAATTTTCTCCCTAAGATGCTGGTGAATTTTCATGGGGACTTGTTAAAAAAAAAAGATATTCACAAAATGATGTGGAAATGTGGAGAAATGAGTTTAAGACTGGAAAAACAAGAAACTGAAATTGACAGATTCTCCTATTCCCAGCTGATAGGTTTTCCAGGAAAGGAATGAGCAGAATGTTTATAAGCAAGGTAATATTTTTTTTAGAAGAGACAATAGGGCACATCAACAAAAAGGTTGTAGCATGGAGTGTTCCCTGTTCAGGGACAGGGTGATGACTGGCCAAATAACAAATCTCCCCTAGGGATGAGAATTTATCACTTTAACAAAAAGAGCCCATCCGAAGATAACAGTGATTAAAGTGGAGCACTTAAGAATACTTGACCATTCTTTATTTTCTCCCCTTTTAGGAAAATCTTATGAAATCACCTATGTGAGGTTGAAATTTCACACCAGTCGCCCAGAGAGCTTTGCCATCTATAAGCGGAGCCATTCTAACAGCCCCTGGATCCCTTACCAGTATTACAGCGCCTCGTGTGAGAAGACATACAGGAAGCCAGAAGGACAGTTCTTGCGTCCTGGCCAAGATGAGCGGGTGGCGCTCTGTACAGACGAGTTCAGCGACATTTCCCCACTGAGTGGGGGAAATGTGGCTTTCTCCACCCTTGAAGGCCGGCCTAGTGCCTACAGCTTTGACCAGAGTCCCATTCTCCAGGTACAAATCTCTGGGTGGGTGGTCCCTTAACACAAGGACAACGACCTGGTAGTGTCATCAGGAAACACTGCAGAACAAACTACAGTGGTACCTCGGGTTACAGACACTTCGGGTTACAGTCGCTTCAGGTTACAGACTCCGCTAACCCAGAAATAGTACCTTGGGTTAAGAACTTTGCTTCAGGATGAGAACAGAAATTGGGCGGCAGCGGTGCGGTGGCAGTGGGAGGCCCCATTAGCTAAAGTGGTACTGAAGGAGGAGAGGACAGGTTAGGATACCCTAAAACCTGTGTAGTCACCCCCCCCAACCAGGCAGGCCTCAAGACTTTTCAAAATTACTTTCTCACTCCCACTTCTCTCCCCCGGGCACAATGCTCTTCCCACCCGTCAAAAAGGCCTGAAAAGGCTACAGTACCTCAGGTTAAGAACAGTTTCAGGTTAAGAACAGACCTCCAGAACGAATTAAGTTCTTAACCCGAGGTACCACTGTAGAATAAATCCACCAGAAAGGCACTATGATTTTGTGAAGAACATGTTGCAGAATTTGCCTGCAATAAAAGACCAGCCTGGAGGGGCCTGGCATCTGGAAGGCCACAGGTTCCCCAATCTTGGAACTGTGTTTCAGTTTAACCTCACCCACCCATGCAGGCAGGGTGAGGCAAAACAGGAAGGTGCCGGCCTACCAGTGCAGCTCCCCACAAACCTCCCTTACCTTGGTCAGGCAGCAGTGTCCACAGTGCGATGGTGCTTTCCAGCAAGATTTTGCGGTTGTTGTTGTTGTTTGTTGTTTAGTCATTTAGTTGTGTCCGACTCTTCGTGACCCCATGGACCAGAGCACGCCAGGCACTCCTGTCTTCCACTTCCTCCCGCAGTTTGGTCAAACTCATGCTGGTAGCTTTGAGAACACTGTCCAACCATCTCATCCTCTGTCGTCCCCTTCTCCTTGTGCCCTCCACCTTTCCCAACATCAGGGTCTTTTCCAGGGAGTCTTCTCTTCTCATGAGGTGGCCAAAGTATTGGCGCCTCAGCTTCACGATCTGTCCTTCCAGTGAGCACTCAGGGCTGATTTCCTTCAGAATGGAGAGGTTTGATCTTCTTGCAGTCCATGGGACTCTCAAGAGTCTCCTCCAGCACCATAATTCAAAAGCATCAATTCAGCCTTCTTTATGGTCCAGCTCTCACTTCCATACATCACTACTGGGAAAACCATGGCTTTTACTATACGGACCTTTGTTGGCAAGGTGATGTCTCTGCTTTTTAAGATGTTGTCTAGGTTTGCCATCACCTTTCTCCCAAGGAGCAGGCGTCTTTTAATTTCGTAACTGCTGTCATCATCTGCAGTGATCATGGAGCCCAAAAAAGTAAAATCTCTCACTGCCTCCATTTCTTCCCCTTCTATTTGCCAGGAGGTGATGGGCCCAGTGGCCATGATCTTGTTTTTTTTTTATGTTGAGCTTCAGACCATATTTTGCGCTCTCCTCTTTTACCCTCGTTAAAAGGTTCTTTAATTCCTCCTCACTTTCTGCCATCAAGGTTGTGTCATCTGCATATCTGAGGTTGTTGATATTTCTTCCGGCAATCTTAATTCCGGCTTGGGATTCATCCAGCCCAGCCTTTCGCATGATGAATTCTGCATATAAGTTAAATAAGCAGGGAGACAATATACAGCCTTGCCGTACTCCTTTCCCAATTTTGAACCAATCACTTGTTCCATATCCAGTTCTAACTGTAGCTTCTTGTCCCACATAGAGATTTCTGAGGAGACAGATGAGGTGATCAGGCACTCCCATTTCTTTAAGAACTTGCCATAGTTTGCTGTAGTCGACACAGTCACAGACACAGTCGACACAGATTTTGCGGTACGCAGGAGTTATTGCGAGATTTTGGTGAGATCTTGAGAGACCTTGCCAGAAGCTGCTACTGCCACTTTAGGCTCTCTTTAGGTTCTGCTGCCTGAAGTGGCTGCCTCAGTCTGCCCCATAGGTGGACTGGCCGTGCACCTAGGAAGTCCGTTGGTTTCAGTTGGCCACAGCAGTTGTTTTCAGTCAGTGTGCCATGGCAACCTGGGTGCCTTGAACAATGCTCAGCAACACTGGCCTCTGTTCCTCTCCCCCCCCCCCATGCCCTCTCACATCTCTGTCTCCCAAAGACTTTCACTTGTTTCATCCCCAGCCACACGCTCCCCTGGCAAATGATACCTCTGGGGCTGGCCAGGGGGTACTGGTTGCCAGGAGCTAAGGTGACCTTGGAGTAAGCAAGCAAGCAAGCAAGCGTTTACTGTGTGCAAGGCCTGCCTGGGAGCTGAGTGCCTGGTGCTGAAGGGGAGCCTTTCTGCCATGCAGGCCTGGCAGTGCCTGCTGCTGCCATTGCTGTCGCCCAAGGTACTGGCCTCACATTCACCTTTGGCCAGTCTCTGTTGGGCCACTAAGGCTGGGGGCATCCTTGTCCCAGGCCCCGGTGGGGCAACGTGAGGAGGCACCTCTTTTGGGTACAGGAGGGGTAGCAGCTGTCCAGGGGACTCCCAAGAAGAGGGGAGAGAGGAGGCTGAGGGAACAGTCCACAAGGGAAAGTGTTTGAAAAGGGGTGAGGGGTTGCTGGCTCTGCAGGCAAGGGGTGACATAACTGGGCTCATAAGCCCCTCAGGGGTGTCACAGAAAGAATGTAATTGGTCACGGGTGCTGTGGACTGAAAAAGACTGTACCTCTGGGACTGGTAGGGGGGAAGGCAGGGAGACCAACAGTAGGTGGAGCCAGAGAGCCAGTGGCAAGCAAATCCAGCCCATTCTAGTTTTGTCCCTGTCCTCCTCCCTGGTGAGTGCTGAGACTAAGCAGAATGGAACTGAAATAAAAAAATAAAAATAAAAATTGTCCAGTAGTTGGTCTCTAAGGTGCAACTGGACAATTTTTAAATTTTTATTTATTTATGTTGACTGCGTCAGACCAACATGGCTGCCTCCCTGAATCCAGAATGGAACTGACAGCCACTGACACCTTCTAAATGGTTTGTTCAAGAAATATAACCCATGTAGGAATGTGGCCTTTGAACTCTAAAAAGCCTCTGCCCTTCTGCTCTTCATCAATCAGATGGCCTGCACCCCTACTATTTCCTTACTTTCTCACTTACTATAATTCATTTCTTAATCCAAGGATCACAGGGAAGTTTACAATATAAAAACACAAAAATATATAAAATAGTAACAAACAAAAACTGTTATGTACTAAGCTTGAATCCTAGAACAATAGGCAAGAAAGTGTTGGGATTCGCAGGATACTGGATAAGTCTGCAGGCTTCAACAGGATGATGCAATACTCTGCTGGGTCAGAGTGACTCAGCAGGAGTGTGATTAGTGTGATTGGCTATCACCTGTTTTAAAAGGAAAGCCTGTTTAACAGTGTGTGTGGTGGTTGTGCTGTAGTGTGGTGGTGCTGTGGTGGAGAGTATTCGTTTGTAAGTACTCTGTATGGACTGTTTCTTTTGTAAATGCCTGTATATAGCTCACATTAAAAAAGACTGCACTGGAAAAACCTGGAACTCTTAGTGTTTCGCTGAAAGCGCCGCGTGGAATACGCGACAGAAAGATCCTAGAATGCAACAACAGATTGGCCTGCAGGAAAAGACCAATCAGGCTCCAGGAGGGAAGCAGAATCAGCCAATCAGACAGGACTCATTGTGTAAATAATGTATATAAAAACCTGAGGTTTGGGGGCAATTGAATCACTGTTTTACAAGCTGCAATAAAGAGCATGAAATCACTACAGGACTCAGAGTATATTTCAAAAACAATACTCCGTCTGCTGTTCTTGTCTCCACCCTTCAAAGTCCCAGGCTCCTCCTCTTCTCTTAGAATCTGAGCCTTTGCAAACATTCTTTTTGGTCAGTGCTTTCCCCCCTAGGAGGTACAGTGGTGCCTCGCAAGACGAAAATAATCCGTTCCGCGAGTCTCTTCGTCTAACGGTTTTTTCGTCTTGCGAAGCAACCCTATTAGCGGATTAGCGCTATTAGCGGCTTAGTGGCTTAGCGGCTTAGCGGCTAAAAGGCTATTAGCAGCTTAGCGGCTTAGAAAAAGGGGGGGAGCGAAAAGACTCGCAAGACGTTTTCATTGTGCGAAGCAAGCCCATAGGGAAAATCGTCTTGCGAAGTGCATCGAAAAACGGAAAACCCTTTCGTCTAGCGGGTTTTTCGTCTTGCGAGGCATTCGTCTTGCGGGGCACCACTGTACTTAAGGGTAGGCAGTACCGGCACGTTGTTGTTGTTAAAAAGTGTGGCACTTACTGTAACAACTTCATGGTGAGTACCAACACCTATTTTTTATAGGAAAAAAGCATACATTTCGGTACCAGTGGATTGTCAATACTGATCCTGTGTAATTCTGTAGGAGTGGGTGACCGGGACGGATTTGAAGATTTCTTTGGACCGGCTAAATACCTTTGGGGATGACATCTTCAAGGATCCCAAGGTGCTGCAGTCTTACTACTATGCCATCTCAGACTTCTCCGTAGGGGGCAGGTAAGGTGGGCGGAAAGAAGAAAAGGACAATCATAAAGGGTAGTTTTTTTATTGGAAAGGGGTGATTGCTCTCACCTGGGAAAAAGGAAAGTGTTGCCAACCTTAAATCATGACTTCCTGCTGTCTTACGAATCCCCGCTTCTTAAGCCTCAACTGTAAAATCCTAACCCAAGGACCACTACCCTTTTTTGGGCATGAGGGGTCACCACATCTGGAAATCAAAGAAATTCTCCTGGGTCCCAGCAAATGGCTATTTTACAATTTCCTGGAGATAACAGGAATTGAACCTGGGACCTTCTGCATGCAAATCATGCTTTACTGCAGCTCAGACAGTGTTTCAAATGAGGCCGAATAAGGATTGCTGATTAAAGAAGCAAAACGTGTCCTTTGGGTAGAGGGAGGGATAAATAGGGGTGGGGAAATCATGGTCCCAAATGTTTCCCCATTCTACCTCCCCCGTTCCTGGTTTTCTTTCTGCCCATTTCCGCTGCAGTGTTAAGAAAACACACTAGAGAAAAAGGAGGATGGGAGGGTGAGGGTGGTCTTATGAAAGCACAGCAAGGACCACACTGGTTTTATCTGTCTTGATTCTTTCTCCCAAGCAGCTGGGATTTGTTTTCTTCTGAACAGGCCACCCTCAGAGACTCCAAGCACAGCGAGTCCTGGGATTAGGGGTCAGGGATAAGCCCTGGATAAAAGAGGTGAAGGGTGCTATGGACTTGATTTGTGTTCTATCTCTCAAACTTTGCTTAGCATATGTGTTCCCTTGAGAAGAAGAATGTATTTTCCTCATTTTCAACAAAGGCGCATTCAGGACAGACGAGGGGTCTGGAGCGCAGAGAATGTTGTTGGGTTTGTTTTTGTTTTAAATAGCCTACCCTGCTTTGGAGAAGTTCCTAACTGAAGAGGTGAATAATACTGAAAGGGTCAGTTGTCCATGTTTGGGTCTCTCCTAGGTGCAAGTGTAATGGCCATGCTAGTGAATGCATCCCAAATGAAGAGGATCAGTTGGTTTGCCTCTGCCAGCACAACACCACTGGGGTAGACTGCGAGTTGTGCCAGCCGTTTTATCAGGACCGCCCGTGGGCACGGGGCACCGCTGAGGCTGCCAACGAGTGTCTCCGTAAGTGGCATGTTGGAGTCTGGCAACTGTGGTCATTTCCAGCATAAGGAATAGCCTCAGAGCAGAAGGACCACCTATAGTTCTGGGTTCCTTTCCCCCTCGGAAAATTTATTTCAGTGGGTCAACTCTTGAGTATGTTGGAGAGCACCCATTATTATTATTATTATTATTATTATTATTATTATTAATCTACAGTGCAATCAGGATACCGTAAGCAAAAATAAAACAGAGAAGTCTCTGCCCCCAAGGCAATAAAAGTTAAGACAATAAGTTCTGGCAAAACAATCTTGTGTTTGTTTGGGTTTTTTTGTGCCCAGCATGCAACTGTAGCGGCCGATCAGATGAGTGCTTTTATGACTGGGAGTTATACCGACGCACTGGGCACGGTGGCCACTGCCGAAATTGCCAGGACAACACGGACGGCCCGCACTGTGAGCGCTGCCGCCAGAATTTCTACCGCTGGGATACCCAGGCGGCATGCCAGCCCTGCAACTGCAACCCAGCAGGTAGGCAGATTGGGGAGGCAGTATGAAGGGTAGGGGGGCAGGAAGGGGGAAGTGACATAAAACTCCTAGCTATCTTCTTTGACTGGTAGCACATGAATATATATAGAGAGGGGGGGAGAGAGAGAGAGAGTTTTTAATACAAGATTGTTCACAACAGAGACTCCACCCACATATTATTATGCCACTTTAAACAGCCATGGCTCTCCCCTCCCCCCCAAGCATCCTTTGTTCAGGGAGGTGAGAGTTGTTAGGAAACCCACCATTCCCCTCACAGAGCTAAAATTCTCAGAGTGGTTTAGCAATCAGCTGCTCTCCCCAGCTTCCTCCCAGGCATCTCCAGGTGGGGCTGGAAATGCCCTTGCCTGAAACCCTGGAAGAAGAAGAAGAAGAAGAAGAAGAAGAAGAAGAAGAAGAAGAAGAAGAAGAAGAAGAAGAAGAAGAGTAGTTTTGATTTGATATCCCGCTTTATCACTACCCTAAGGAGTCTCAAAGCGGCTAACATTCTCCTTTCCCTTCCTCCTCCACAACAAACACTCTGTGAGGTGAGTGAGGCTGAGAGACTTCAGAGAAGTGTGACTGGCCCAAGGTCACCCAGCAGCTGCATGTGGAGAAGCAGGGAAGCGAACCCAGTTCACCAGATTACGAGTCCACTGCTCTTAACCACTACACCACAATGAAGAGTTACTGCCAGTCAATGTAGATAATCCTGAGCTATATGGAGCCAATGGTCTGACTCAGTATAAATCGGATTCCTCAGTTCCTTTGTTGACACTTTATATCTTCCCAGGTTCCTTGAATCCCCAGTGTGACAGCTCAGGGGCCTGTGAATGCAAAGCAACGGTGGCAGGCTGGAAGTGTGAGCGTTGCCGAGATGGATTCCATTCCCTCAGTGAAGGCGGGTGCAGGTGAGAGGAGGAGGAATAGGATCCCCCTGGAACTGTGGCAGGGGCAGGACTAGCTCTACCGTTAGGCAAAGTGAGGTGGCCACTTCAGGTGGTAGAAGCTGGGATTCCTCCTGGGCCCCAAGCCATTGTCACTCTTCAGCATACTCCTCTCCACCTGTTCCCATTCTTCTGAGCTGATGCTAGGAATGGTGAAGAAATTCAATTTTGTTTGCATTTCAGTGGGAAGGTGCACTTCTCAAATCAATACACAAAGCGAAACATGGCTACCTTTCAAAATTAACTTCTCAGAGTGTTTTGATTTGATTCTCCAACCAAAGTGCATGTATTAGGAAAATATGCACATAAAAACCCATTTACTGGGGCAAAATAACATACAAAGTGCACTACATTAGAAGAAATTGCTTGCAAAAATGCATATGTTAACAAATTTCTTGACTGTTTTTACATATACTAGGTGCTGTGCCCTTGTTCACTCCTGTCACCAGCCCTCCTGCCATTCCACCCACATTGACCCCCTACAACTGCGCCTTCCCTCTCCATGCAATTATGAATCCTCTGATGGGGATTATGTAATGACAGTCTTACATTTTAATGTACCGTATTTTTCGTCCCATAGGACGCTCCGTCCCATAGGACGCACCTATATTTTTTGGGGGGAAATAAAGGAATTCCCCCCCCTTTATTTCCCCCCAAAACCAGGTCAGGGAAACCGAACCAGGTCGAGGAACAGCGGGATGGCGGCGCTGCGCCTCCTTGCTGTCCTCCAAGCTTGTGGGGCTGGCCAATGTCTGCCCGGCACGCGGAGCGCTCTGCTTCAGGGTGCTGTTTGCGCCGGGCGGCAGGCTGCTATCCGCAGCGTGGGGAGCCCTGCGGGAACTCCCGCAGGGCTGCCTATGCTGCGGATGTGTTCCCGAAGCGCCAGGCGCTCTGCTTTCAGCGCGCCCGGCGCTCCGGGAAGCAGGCTGCTATTCACAGCCTAGACAGCCCTGCTAGAACTCCCGCAGGGCTGCCTAGGCTGCGGATGTGTTCCTGAAGCCTGGAGAGCGAGAGGGGTCGGTGTGCACCGACCCCTCTCGCTCTCCAAGCTTCAGCGAAAGCCTGCATTCGCCCCATAGGATGCACCCAGATTTCCCCTTCATTTTTGGAGGGGAAAAAGTGCGTCCTATAGGGCGAAAAATACGGTATATAGGAAGATATAAAACCTATAATTGCTGCAGAATTGTGGATAACTGAATTTAAGATGGGGGGGGGGAGAGGGAGAAACCAAAATTGACACATTTGTCCATCCCTAGCGGGCAGCAACACTTTCTTGTTGCAGGGTTGGCTGCCTCGCCTAGTTCCCTTCTTTCAACACTTCTCAGACGTTGTCTGGGAAAGTCCCCTTACTGAGAGAGCAGGCAAAGAGGCAGCCAGGCCAGGCCACACACCCCAGCAGCCAGGATGCATGTGGATACCTTGCTCTGGTCACATCGCACATGCTGGAATTGGCGCTGCTGTACTGCAGCCTTCGTTTGAGTGACACAACTTACCGGTATGTGTCATTGGCCTCCTTTTTCAGACCTTGCGCTTGTGATGCAGCTGGCAGTGTAGGAACATGTGACCCTAACACAGGACACTGCAGGTGCAAAGAGAAGGTAGAAGGGTACCTGTGCAACAGGTGAGTAATCTTAATCTCCTGCCTCTCTTCCTTTCCCTCTGTTGTTCCTAGCCCTGTGCAAACATAAGACTGTAACCTCCTCAGAGGAGGGATCTGTCTTTTTTATTGATGAGAATAAAAGCACCTCCAGATATTGCTAAACTACAGCTCCCATTAGCCCCAACAATCATGGCCAATGGCTAGGGATCAGAGGAGTTTTAGTTCTGTAACATCTGGTGGGCCAAAATTTCTCTGCACCTGATTTTAAAAACAAACAAACAAGCAAACAAACAAACAAACAAACAAGCAAAGCAAGCAAGCAAGCAGGCACTGTGTCATGAGCCTGAATCTGGGGAGCAGCCAAGACTCTCAAAGAACACAAGAAGAGTCTGTCTGGATCAGATCTGCCCCATCTGGCTAGTATCCTGTTCTCACGGTGACTAACCAGATATCCCAATGGGAAGCCCACAAGTACAACCTGAGCGTCCTCCCCACCTGTGATTCCCAGCAACTGAAGTTCAAAGGCATACTGCCTCCAACAGTGGAGGGAGAATTTAGCCGCTGTGGGTGGTAGCCTTATCTTCCATGGATAAAGATACACTGTCAATAAAAATTGGTCTGCTCCATGAAGCTGACTGACATATGCTCTTTCTTGTCCAGGTGCCAACCTGGTAGCTTCAATCTACAGCTCCACAACCCTACTGGCTGCACCAGCTGCTTCTGCTATGGCCATTCAACAGCGTGCACAGTGGCCCAGGGGTATGAGGTTCACAATATCATCTCCGACTTCAGCCAAGGTAGTTGGGGAACTTTTCTATATGGGTATATCTGCACACTACAACGTTATGTTGGGCTTATAGCACTTTTAACAGCTGCAGTTTCCTTGATATCATTCTGGGAGTTGTAGTTTAGTGAAAGTGGTAGGATTTCTGTTGAAGTTCCCTAGGCTCCATTCAACCCAACTATATCCCAGGGCTCCCAGGAGAGACAGAAAAACAGTTAAAGCAGTAGAAGTCCATAGTGTAAAGTGCACATGGGCATCACGTGTTTATGCAAAATAGCAACTAATAAATAAATAGCTGTAGAAGAAAACTAAAGGATTAAAATCTGTACAGGCAGATTGTGTAGGGGTTGCGTTCAAAGTCAATACACATGGCAGTGGTCATGCTTAAGCTCCTTCTGAGCCCGCCCAGTTCTCGGGCCAAAAATGGTGTATGCATTAGCACTTGCACATCACTACTAGTTCTTACAAGTTTTTACTGAGACAGGTGTGAATGAGGGTAACACAGATTGGCAGTTTTGAAAAGGCAGCCTTCCTATCTGTGGGTGGAGTCAGTGCGAGGCATAGGACTCTCTAGAGCAGGGATGTAGGGTTGCCATATTTCAAATATGGCAATATTTGCCAAAGTTGTTGAGCTTCTTTTAGTTTTGCCCAAAGTTGTTGAGCTCAAAATCTCAAAAAAAGAAGAAATTTTTGAGCTGTTTTTAAGGAAATCCACAAAAAACCTGAGACTTCCAACATTGGTTTCCATACATCCAGATCTTCCCAGACATTTCAGCGGTTTCCGCCCAGACACTGCTTCCGACTGCAGTATTCTGGCTATGTCTGGGAAATTCCGGACGTAGGGCAACCCTAAGGTAAGGTTGCCAGACGTCCCCGTTTCCCAGGGACAGCCCCCGGATTTACAAATCAGTCCCCTGACAAAATCCATCTATCTAATAGGAAGTTGAAAAGTGTCCCCGGATTCATTGAAAAAAATCTGGTAACCTTACCTAAGGGATAGCCAAAGTGATGCCTTGCAGGTGTTGTTGGACTATAGTTCCCATCATCCCTGGCTATTAGGCATGCTAGTTGGGGATGATGGGAGCTGGAATCCCACACAAGCCGTAGGACAAATTGGCTACCCCTACTCTAGAGCAGGAAGAAGCAACCATTTTGCAATTGCTGCATTTTAGCAATTGAAAATCACATACCCCTGTCAGTCTTGCTATGAATCGCTCAGATATCTGCCACTGCATCCCAGTTCACTTACTAATCTCTAAAGCAGCTGCCCCATTGAGCATGCTGCTCAGAATGAGGAGCCAACCCTGAAGCAACTGTTCTATAAATCCAGCTAGGCCCCTATTGGCTCCCCAGATTGCTTAAGTGTGGCTGGACTGTTGAGCTGCAGTACCCAAATCTGGCCATTATTTGGGTGGCACTGTAGAGCATCAGGGACCAGGCAAATAGCTCACTGTACAGTGGTACCTTGGTTTACAAACATAATCCATTCCCAAGGTCCGGTTGTAAACCAAAACAGGTTGTAACCCAAGGCGTGCTTTCACCAATGGGTTGTAATAATTGGTTGTAATAATAATAAATGGGTTGTAATCCAAAAAAAGGGACATGCACTTCCAGGTTTGACGTGGTTGTAATCCAAAACAGTTGTAATCCAAAGCAGTTGTAAACCAAGGTAGCACTGTATGTGAAAGCCTCCCCAATAGCACAGCATCAATGGCTCAGCAACTTCAAGATAAGGAAAAAGCAGCTGTGTAAACCCAGCACTCATAATTTATTTAATTCTGAGCTGTATCTGGCTGAGTTATAGCTTTCTGTTTGGCCAGTGGAGAGACATGTGGGCGAGTACACAGCTGGTGACCCAAAGTAAACCCAATGGAGCATATGAGGCCTTCTGTCTCCTGTTCTCCCTTTGCACAGCAGGGGTTTATTCTGCACTGGCTGAAGGCCTCTGTGTGAACCTAGCTTGGACTCTGTGTGAACCTATCAAGTAGCTCGCTCAGTCGCCATCCAGCATCCAAGATGGCGCTGAAGCAAGTTCATAGACCTCTCTCTTGTGTGTGAAAGATCACCCTCTGGTGAACAGCCCAAGGAACGCCCATTATAGAACCTGTCAAAACCCACAGGGCCCAGTGGTCAAGGGGCTCCTGCTCCGATGGAAAACCTGTGTGAATTATTCTGTGCATAGCTGTTAACGTAATAATCTGAACATGCTATTACTCTCTGCAGGGCCAGGCTACCTATGAGATGAGGTGGTGCAGTTGTCTCTGGTAGCCAGGGACGCGGACTTATAAAAAATATTGGGGGGGCCCGGGAAAGCTCATGAATAATAAATAAGCTCATGAATATGCAAATAAAGTGGCGCCGCCTCCTCGTGAGCGAATAGGGGAGAGCATGCTGCGCCTATTAATCAGCTCCAAAGGAAATTGGGTGGAGCTTTTGCTCGGGAGGGAGGGCAGGAGGCATGCAGCCCGCCCCTCCCTGTGCATTTTGGGCTGGGGGAGGGGCGGCGATGGCGCTCTGCTGGAGGGGCGCCGGAGATTATTGGGGGGGCAGAGCCCCCCCAAACGAATTTTTGAGGGGGCTCGGGCCCCCTCAAGCCCCATGGTAGCAGATCCAGCCTCCAGGGAGCACACCGCAAACCACTGCCTGCTGCCACTCATTCCTTTCTGGTCTCATTTTACTTCCCCACTGCCTTCAGGTGGGGGGAGCTATGAAGGCGGAGTCAGGAGCATTTTCTGTTGTGCCTCAAGTGGCAGAATGTCCTGGGCCGGCCCTGACAGTCTTTGTGTGTATGTGTTTTATTTAATTGTAGATGTTTATTTCTTTACTATTTGGTGGATTTTTTATTGATAGGGTTGCCAAATGTCCTCCTTTTCCAGGAAACGTTCTCTTTTTCATGGGTAGAGTTGTCATAGTGATCCATAGTTAAAAATAGAAGTTGACAAATGTGTCCTCTTCAAAATATGGCAACCTTTATTCTTGTAATCTGCTTAGATTCCATATTAGTACTTCTTCTTCTTCTTCTACTACTACTACTAAAATACTAATACTAATACTATTATTACAATTTATTACCCACTCTTCACCCTAAGGTCCCAGGGCAGGTTACAACAATTACAACAATATTAAAAACAGTTAAAACAAGTTACAGTCACAGAAATAAGGTGGATCCTACAGATATATATCTCAAGTGTCAAAATCTGGGGTGAAGAGGTGTGTCTTATCATTTATCACAAGTTGCATAAGCTGCCAAATGCATCTCTATGGGAAGAGAGTTCCACAGCTATGGGGCTGCCACAGACAAATTGACAATTAAGTGGTGTATAAAAAAGGTAAAGGTACCCCTGCCCATACGGGCCAGTCGTGTCCGACTCTAGGGTTGTGCGCCCATCTCACTTTAGAGGCCGGGGGCCAGCGCTGTCCGGAGACACTTCCGGGTCACGTGGCCAGCGTGACGAAGCTGCTCTGGCGAGCCAGCACCAGCACAGCACACGGAAATGCCGTTTACCTTCCCACTATAAAGCGGTACCTATTTATCTACTTGCACTTATGCGTGCTTTCGAACTGCTAGGTGGGCAGGAGCTGGGACTGAAAGACGGGAGCTCACCCCGCCGCAGGGATTCGAACCGCCGACCATGCGATCGGCAAGTCCTAGGCACTGAGGTTTTACCCACAGCGCCACCCTTAAGTGGTGTATACATCAATCAAATAATTAACTGATTAACAATATGTTTTTAAAAACACCCAAATAGGGATGGCATGAAATACCCATTGTATTGGAATCTGTTCCAATTATTTTTAAAATGGAAGGTGAAGCAACACATTTCGTTGTAATGCCTTTCCTTGGTTCATATAGCTTGCCTTTATACCATAACATTTCTTAGTGTCTGGAATCCAGATGCCTTCTCCCCATGGCTATTGTGGTGCAAAGTAACAATTGGTTTGGGGTTTTTTTTCATTCTTCCAGAGCTCCAGTTCCTGTTTCAACATGAATAGCTCATGAGACTCTCAGTCGCAGGGTTGTGGGTTCGAGCCCCACGTTGGGTGAAAGATGCATTGCAGGAGGTTGGACTAGATGACCCTTGTGGTCCCTTCCAACTCTACAATTCTATGATTCTATGTAGTTATAGGGTGAAATTTCATCAGGCCTCCATGAGCAAGAATGGCGAAAGAAGGGAAGGATATTAATTGAGTGCCTGCTTTACACACAGAAGGTCCCAGGTTCAGCTCCCAGTGGCATCTCCAGGTAGGGCTGGGAATGAAATCCTGGAGAGCCGCTTCCCGTCAGTGCAGACAATACTGAGCTAGATAGAGTAAAGGGTCTTGCTCTGTATAAGGCAGCTTCCTATGTTCCTGTTGGAAGGGCTGTAGCTCATCTGTCTTGCATGTAGAAGATCCTAGGTTCAACCTTGTAGGCAAAAGCGAGCTAAATTGCAAGGTCAGCCAGACTTGCTTTGTCACTCTTTTTCTCTCTTTGCTTGTGTTTTGTTGTTTTTTACCAGGACTCGATGGCTGGAAAGCAGTAAATCCAAGTGGGCAGGAGGTCCCCCTCCGCTGGACTAGAGGAGAGATTTTCCTGGAGCAAGAGGAGGAGGAGGCTGATTTTATAGCGCCAGGTATAGTATCTGCAAAGCAGGAAGTGATGAAAATTCCTTCTCCCAAGGCTGCTAGCTCCTCCCATTGCAGTTTATCATAATGACCCTAGGTCCAAATGGCCCTCTGGAAGGAATTTGCCCTTGGGGCCAGTCCCAAAAGCACATAGCAAGCTGGTCACTCGATGCTCACTGTTCTGCAAGAGTAGCTTGTGGTGCCAGTATCCTTCCAGCTTGAGGTCATCACTTTGACTATGTCAGGGACCAGGAGTCAGATTCCTCATCAATGGGTGATGGATGCAAAGGTGCGGAACCCAAAGTGTTCAATCCACGCTTTAATGGAAGCCTATCTAATTTACACTTCACAGAACAATACTATCAAGGCTATCGTTTGAAATTCACACTTTGCCAAATTTTCTGATGCAGGTTCTGCAGCCAAAAGACATGTGTGTTACGGGGGAAAGTGTACCTAAGAATGCATATTTTTCTGAAAAACAACATCAAAAAATGCATTCCCTTATGGAAAATTGCTTGCAAATCATGTATTTATTGGGCAAAAATGTGTACAGCGGTGACAGATGCTGACAATTTTTTGCAATGTTTTTAAATAATAATAATAAATCACAAACAGCTGGTGGAAAAGTGGCAAACTGAACTTAAAATTGGAAAACTGAAAAACTGATAGAAACCGAAATAGAGATATTTGTTCATCCAGCCCTAGTATAGTGTATTGGTTAGAGCGTCAGCCTAGGATCTCTGAGTCGAGGTTTCAAATCCCCTCTTGGCCATTAAGCTGTCAGGGAGATAGTTGCCAGTTGCTATCTCTCAGCCTAACCTATCCCACGGGGTTATTGTGGAGGATGAAATGGGAAGAGACAAGAACCACGTACACCACCTTGAGCTGCTTGGAGGAAAAGATGGGATATAAATGCAATGTGATAAATAAACTATCTAACTTTTGCCTTTCCTCTGAATTTCCCTCTCAATCCTTAGAGAGGTTCCTGGGTGACCAGCGGCTTAGTTACGGGCAGACCCTCTCCGTGTTCTTCCGCATAGCAAGCACCACACCTGACTTCCATTCTTTCCCCATTGGGCTGGTTTTGGAGGGGGATGGCATCTCAGTGTCAGCCAGTTATGCCGATACAGAAGACAGCAGAAATGGCACACACTGTGAAGAGCACATGATAGCGTTCAGGTATCTTTTTCTCTACCATTCTTCCTCACCTGTTCCTATCACAAGCCAAGGTGTTTTGATCTAACAGCCTTTTAAAAATTCTCAAGCATGCAAACAGTAAACAATGGCATTGTGGTGATCAAATGAAAAGTAAAGAGAGGTTCAAGAGAGAATCACGGTCACCCAATTTAAAAAGTTTTATTTTGCTCATGTGAATATATATGTGTGATATTTGTTGTGATATGTAACTAGGGTAGCCAAGCTGGTTTCCTCCAGATTTTTATGAACTGCAGCTCTCATCACTCCCAGCCAGCATGGCCAATGGTCAGGAATCATGGGAGTTGTAGTCCTAAACACCTGGGAGGCACCACATTGCTCATGGTGGTGCTTTCTAGATTTAAAAATGTTATATTTTTATATACATATATTGTTCCATGCCACCCCGATCTCTTAGTGGTGCAAGGGGTTCCAGGTGCTTACCCGAAGTGTATTTCCTTTGTAAATTAGGCATAGCAAAGACTGCAGTGTCTTTATGATATATGGTTTCTTTACACATATATACAACCTGAGCCTACAGTGTACAGAGCATTCACATCACAAGATTCTTTGCTCCTCTCTTAGGAGCAGCAGGCTTAGGTCTACAAACAGGAACCAGCCATGGTCCCTCTCCCTTTGTTACAGCCAACCCACCAAGAGTTTTGGCAGGCCACCCTCTCCTCCGCTTTTCAAACCCCTTGCAAAGTGCTTACATCTTCTAAGCTGAAATCCTAAACCTGAAATCCTGAAATCCTGAACCTGTTCTGAGCTGCTAGCAACAGCTGTATTTGCAGCGGAGGAGTGAAATGCTAGCATGTTCTTCCCCTCCTCATTTTTATCATCACAGCAACCCAGGCTGTGACTGGCAACAAGTCACCCTGCAGCTGAGGAGAGTGTTGAAGCCTGGTCTCTCAGGTCCTAATGTAGCACTCTTAACTAAATAGTAATATTAATAAGTTATTGTTAGGTGCTCCTATAACCAGCTCATTTTTTGTTTGAGCTTTGAGGAGCATATAAAGAAATAAATACAACCAACACAGGGCAGGGCAGTGCACTTTATTACTTTTCAGTTAATTCTAGTCAATTTTTAGTTGGCATCAGAGAGATTTGATTTGTGATCCATTAAAACTTTGGCCACTAAATGGTCAAGTGCTCAGGTCTGACAAGGGAGCAAACAGAAGTCGGATAAGTGTCATTTCACTGGGGGGTGATAAGGCCATTGTTAAAGCTCTCATCCTGCTTCCCCATGAGCCCTTTTGTGTGCTTCCAATCCTGTATTACTCAAAGGCTTCACGAGGCTGAGGAAGAAATGCAACCAGCTCTGTCAGCTTTCCAGTTCCAGCGCCTGCTCTCCAACCTGACAGCGCTTCGGATCCAGGCCAAAAGCAGTTATGGACCAGGTAAGTCATTTGAAAACCTGCTATGTGTAGTTGGTCCCTGGTGTAGGCAGTCATGTAAAATGTGCAATTCCTCAAGACCTCTGGTTTTAAGTGAGCTTGAATTTGAATAAGAGCATAAGAAGAGCCTGGCTTGTTCCAGACCAGAGACCCATTTAGTCCAGTGTCCTTACAATTGCCAACCAGGCATCCATTATGGGAAGTCTGTGAAAGCAGAACCTTTCTCTCCCCTCTTGTGATTCCCAGAAACTGGTATTCAGAGGCATACTGCCTCCCAAAATGGAGGTAGAACATAGCCATTGTGGATAGTTTGTCTAATCTGGTACGCCTCTCCTGGTATGCCCCGCAGAGGACCTTAAGGTCCACAAATAACAACACTTTGGAGGTCCCAAGCCGCAAGGTGGCCTGGGAGGGCGGGGTATAATAATAATAATGATGATGATGATGATGATGATGATGATGATGATGATGATTATCCTGTTTTAAAGCCATCCAGCATATAGGTTGGTGGCTTCTATTGCATCTTGGATGCATGGAGAGGGGAAGGAAAAATAAGAGTATTGGAAGGCTGAGAACCTAAGAAAAGCCCTGCTGGATCAGACAAATGGTCCATTTAGTCCAGCATCCTATTCTCACACTTAGCCAACCAGATGCCCTATGGGAAGCCCAAAAGCAGGACCTGAATGTAACAGTAACTCACCCCATTCATGGTTACCAGCAACTAGCATTCAGAGACAGACTACCTTCAACACTGGAAGTAGAACATAGGGAAGGGGCTGTAGCTCACTGATAAATATCTGCTTTGCATGCAGAAGGTTGCAGGTTCAGTCCCTGGCATCTCCATGTAGTGCTAGGAGAGATCACTTGCCTTAACCCTGGAGAGCTGCTGCCAGTCAGCATAAGCAAGAATGGGCTAGATGGACCGAAGGATCTGACGGTGTAAAGGAGCTGCCTGTGTTGCTAGCACAGCCACCATGACTAGGTGTGCAACTGAGTCTTTTCCTCCCTCTGGGTCTCCCTTCTTTCCCCTCAGGTAGGATTCTCCTGAAGGAAGTCCAGCTTACGTCAGCTCACCCAGGCCTCTCTCAGCCTGCCCTGTGGGTCGAAGAATGTATATGCCCGCAAGGATACGTTGGCCAGTTCTGTGAGTCCTGCGCTCCTGGCTTCAAGAGGGAGGTGCCATTCGGTGGCCCCTTGGTCAGTTGTGTTCCCTGCTCTTGCAACCAACATGGCAGCTGTGATCCTGACACAGGTCAGTCCTCTCTCTCTCTTTCTGTCTCTGCCATCCTGTTTGGTATAGTGGTTAGAGTGTCAGACAAGGACCTGGGAGACCAGGGTTCAAATCCCCACTCAGCCATGAAGCTCGCTAGGTGTGATTTTGGGTTGGTCACAGTCTCTCAGCCTAAACTATCTCACAAGGTTGTGGTGGGGATTAAATGAGAAGTGGGGAGAACCATCTGCACCAACTCAAGCTCTTTGGAGAAAAAGGTGTGATAGAAATGCAATGAATAAATAATTAAGAATCAATAATTTCTCACATTTGTATTACTTACTTCAGTTTATCAATCGTTTCTGATAAAATATCCCAAAAGCAATTGAAGAGTAAATGAATTTTCACGATGACCTCTTTTTATTGCAAACTGATGTGGAAATGTGGTGAGCTGAACTTAAGAATGGAAAAATTAGAAAAATTTGCAGATTCACCTACCCCTAGTCCCCATACTGCAGGAATATCATTTAAAAGTACCGTATTCCCCCCCCCCAGGGCGCACCGGCCCATAAGGCGCACCTAGTATTTTGGGGGGAAATAAAGGGGGGGAATTATTTCCCCCCAGGCACGGGGCTGGGGCGGGGGAAGCCCAAGGTTCCCCCGACCCCATCCCCCAGAACAGGCTGCTCTCGCAAGCCATGGGAGCACTCCCACGGCTTGCTGAGAGCTACCCGAAGCCCGGGCGCGACTGCTCAGCGCGCCCAGGCTTCGGGATAGAAGCAGCTCTGCACAAGCCATGGGAGGGCTCCCGTGGCTTGCGCAGAGCTACCCAAAGCCCGGGCGTGACTGCTCAGCGCGCCCAGGCTTCGGAATAGAAGCAGCTCTGCGCAAGCCGTGGGAGGGCTCCCGCGGCTTGTGCAGAGCTACCCGAAGCCTGGGCGTGACTGCTCAGTGTGCCCAGGCTTCGGGATGCAGGCAGCTCTCCGCAAGCCGTGGGAGCCCGGTGGGAACTCTCGCGGGCTCCCAAGGCTTGCGGATAGCTTCCTGAAGCCTGCATTCACCCCATAAGACGCACACACATTTCCCCTTCATTTTTGGAGGGGGGAAGTGTGTCCTATAGGGCGAAAAATACGGTACTCCCAGGATTTCTCCAGTACAGTCATACCTCGGGTTGAATGTGCTTCAAGTTGAGCGCGTTCGGGTTGTGCTGTGCGGCAACCCGGAAGTAACGGAGCGCGTTACTTCCAGGTTTCGTCGCTTGCGCATGCGCAAGCAATCAAAATGACATCACGTGCATGCGCGGAAGTGGTGAAATGTGACTTGCGCACGCGTAGACTCGCCATCGCACCATTGCATCTTATGTTCCATTCAGGATGCGAACGGGGCTCCGGAACGGATCCCGTTCGCATCCTGAGGTACAGCTGTACAAAGTTAACATGGACAGTAACATTCAGACTGAAAGGAAAATATCACTGGACATGTCCACACAGTGACCAAGTTAACCCAATCCAGGTATGGCTGTTGTGTGTGATTCTACAAACCACACACACATGTGCTTAGAGGCTGCCAGCATCTGGCTCGTGCTCTGTTACTGCAACATATGGGCTGCTTCATGGGACATGACTGAGATGCACAAAGGCTTGTATTGCTCCTTTTTATATATATAAAAAAGGAAAATTCTTAACAAGTTCCTTTGTTTTACCAAATGGAAACAGCACAACGCTTTGCTGTCTTCTCCCACCCCCGCCTTTTTTTATTGAGGAATTCCACTGCGTCTGGTCTCCTCCTTTCTGGTTCCACGCAATCCTTGGATGCAATTCCAGGGCTTTGATCTTGCAGCTCTAATTTCCTTCAATCAAGCTGTGCGTCCGTCAGATAGGCTCTTGCCAGTCATTTGATTTCTTCCAGCCCTGCCACATCCACCCTCTTCTTCCTTGCCCCCATTTGCCCGGCTCTGTTTGCAACTCCGTTTCCCAGAGCAAACTCCAAGCCAGCCAACACAGCCTTGTTCCCATCTTGTGTTGCTTGCTATACTGGTTAGATGGACCTTTGCAGGAAATTGTGAACTGAGCGTGTTCAGTGGGTGTAGAACACGAGTGAATGGTGGGTGGTGGTGTAAATGAAATGGATTATCTTGGTGGAGAACATAGGTGACTGAACCCCTGAATAGAAGCTCCTAGACATGTTGGGAAATCCTGCTGCAAAACAGGAGCGGAAATTGCCACAATGTGCTTGTTCATCAAAGTTCAGAAATTAAAACCAAGCAAGCAAATATGAGCACTGTTGTTTCCATAAATGCTACAAAAATAATTATGTGATTGTATGCATTGCTTTTTTTGGGGACGCGGGTGGCGCTGTGGGTAAAAGCCTCAGCGCCTAGGGCTTGCCGATCGAAAGGTCGGCAGTTCAAATCCCCACGGCGGGGTGCGCTCCCGTTGTTCGGTCCCAGCGCCTGCCAACCTAGCAGTTCGAAAGCACCCCCGGGTGCAAGTAGATAAATAGGGACCGCTTATTAGCGGGAAGGTAAACGGCGTTTCCATGTGCGGCGCTGGCTTGCCAGAGCAGCGATGTCACGCTGGCCACGTGACCCGGAAGTGTCTCCGGACAGCGCTGGCCCCCGGCCTCTTGAGTGAGATGGGCGCAGAACCCTAGAGTCTGTC